CCTTGTTACTCCACCGCAGCTGGAAGAAGAAGTACAGTTTTGTTTTTATTTTTTTTTTATATCATTGTGAACCCATCCTTTTTTTGTTATTTTCATAAATTCATTTTTTAAAACAATAATTGCAATGACATCAATGTACTTCGTCTCTACTTCCCCTATTGCTGAGGGAAAAAAATCTATATAGTTGAGTCCCAAAGGAAAATCAAGACATTATTAATATCAGGCACCCTATAGCCAGAAAATGCTCTGTTGGTCTAGTGGTATAGACACTGACATATTCAATCCACCATTTTTATATATTTGATTTGCTTCAATCCCCTGCAGCCATTTTCCTTTTTTTTTTTTTTTAGCAGAGGACGTAAACGGGTGGAAAACCATACCATGCTCATGGGTCAGCAGAATCAATACTGTTAAAATGTCTATACTACCTGAAGTTATCTACATATTCAATGCAATCCCTATTAAAATAACAACATCACTTTTTGTAGATCTAGAAAAAATAATTCTACGCTTCATATGGAAACAGAGAAGACCCTGTATAGCAAAAGCAGTCTTAAGAAAAAGAACAAACCGGGGAGGGCCTCAATTTACCAGACTTCAAGCTATACTACAAGGCTATAGTAACTAAAACAGCATGGTACTGGCACAAGAACAGAGACATAGACCAATGGAATAGAACTCAAAACCCAGATACAAAACCATCTTGATATAGCTATCTAATCTTTGACAAAGGAGACAAAAACATACACTGGGGAAAAGAATCCTTATTCAATAAATGGTGCTGGGAAAATTGGATAGCTACATGTAGAAGACTGAATCAGGATCCGCGCCTTTCACCTCTCATGAAAATCAACTCACAGTGGATAACAAACGTAAACCTAAGGCACAAAACTATAAGAATTCTAGAAGAAAATGTTGGAAAAACTCTTATAGACATTGGCCTAGGGAAAGAATTTATGAAGAAGACCACAAAGGCAATCACAGCAACAACAAAAATAAATAAATCTTTTTCTTTCTTTGTTTTGAGACAGAGTCTCGCTATGTCACCCCAGCTAGAGTGCAGTGGCATCATCATAGCTCACTGCAACCTCAAACTCCTGAGGTCCAGCGATCCTTCTGCCCCCACCTCCCAAGTAGCTGGGATTACAGGCATGCACCACTGCATCTGGTTAATTTTTCTATTTTTAGTAGAGATGGATTCTCACTCTTGCTCAGGCTGGTCTTGAACTCCTGACCTCAAGCAAGCCTCCTGCCTTGGCCTTCCAGAGTGCTAGGATTACAAGCATGAGCCATCACACCCGGCCCATTTTTCTTTTTGATGCCCAAACTATCCCAATATAAATCAGTGGAAGCCACTTCATGTTGACTTTTGGGTCCTTTAACATGTTCCTTTTCATCCCTTTAGTGGCAAATTTAGGCACCATAGTCTAGACACTAAAGGTTAACTGCATATTTGCATTTGCTGAACTTGTTGTAAAAATAAGAGAGTGAGCAAGATAGAGAGATCTTATATTTATAAATAGCTACACTGTAGTGAGAAGAACACACCTGTGTTGGAAGAGACCCAGTTTTGCCACATATAAGTCACTAACACTCTTACCTATTGAATGCAGACCTCAAAAGTTCTTATCTTTGCTTCCTAGATATGGATTTCTACATTTCCAAACATAGTGCATTCAGTCTTGGCTATTTCTGGACTCTCATTTACATAGTCATAGCAGCTTAGAAAAAAGGCCTCCTATCCCAATATTGTTTGATATTAGCAGGATCCATCCAAGTAATAAGGGTGTATCATCAATAAATATTACAAAGTAAACAATAGTCCAGTCAAGACTGAGAACACCAAAATAAAATTAAATCCAAGGAACCACAGTAATAGGATATTGGTCTTCTTCCATCTATTCCCAATCCTCTGTCTTTTTCCCCTTGGTTTAACAATCTAAGATGTCATAAATCCCTAATTTTCCTGTCTAACTTACTAAAGACTTGATATTTCTTAGTTTCAGTAAGAGTCCCTCACAGTTCCTTCTAAGCCAATGATTCCTAAATTCAAAGATTCTTTCGGGCACAAAAAACTCCAGATTTAGAGATAGATCATCTAATCTACACATATAATTTCAAAGATAGGAAATTAAGGCACAGAGATTTTATGCCACTTGCCTCTATTAGCAAACTTAGAAAGCCAGAGACTTAGTAAAGTCATGCGTTAGATTTTCTAAATCATATAAAAGTAAACACATTTAGGCTGATAGCCTCCATGCTCTGTATCTCACATCTCCCTAATCATTTATTTAAAAATTATGTACCATGATGATGATAAGGAAAACACAACTTTTTTATGGGTATTTATATATTTGCAAACATGTTGTGCATGTCTGTGTAATCGATATAAAAGCACTACCAGAATGCAAATATTCTAAAACAAAAAGCAAATAATTTCATTAAAACCTGAGTTTTACCCTTGGCTTTCAAGAGATAAAACAATTAAAGTAGCTTTGCAAAACACATGTATGTTTAAAATGTTATGTTGCCTTTAGTTGAATCAAGAAAACTAAGCAATATTAGTTGCTTAGTTGTACAAACTAGTCTTTTCACTAAAACAAAGACTTTATTGAAGAATAAAAATGTTTCTCAAAACTTTGTGGACTAGCTGTGAGTCCAGTAGATTCCACCTGCTGACAGGCCAAACCAGCAACCCTTGCTTGTAATCTTCAGAAGAACCTTCTCAGCAAATTGAGCCTCGCAACGCAGATATTTGCTGTAGCTGCTATTTTGTCACAGAGAATAATTCTGATCTTTTAAGTACCAGTGTACCATAATTTTGGCCATCTCAAAATGCTTAGGGAAGCACTTACTGATCTAATAAGTCTTGTTTTTTCTTTAATGAGTACAATTTCAAGTGATCATAAAAACCCCACATATGGTCATTACAACACTTGTTGTGCACAATCTGTTCATCCAAAGGCATTTTTACTCTACGCCATAAACAGGACTAGATGTGACTAGAAAAATACTCATCTACCAAGATGTTCAGGCCAAGGTTACAGGAAATGAATAAAAAATTATGGTTACATATGATCCTGATTACACTGAAATGTTCTGATAGAGCAATAATTGAGAATAACAAGCCTATCCTCTTCTCTAGCTTTAGACTCTGATCTTCATAATACAATTAAAGCCGATCAGTCATTTAAGACACAATATAAACACAGGCTCTCTTTCAGAGATACTAGAAGAGTGATTGTATTCTTTTTATTTTTTATTCCGGCATATTATGGGGGTACAAATGTTTAGGTTACGTGTATTGCCCTCACCCCACCTGAGTCAGAGCTTCAAGTATGTCCATCCCCCAGACGGTGCACACTGCACCCATTAGGTGTGTATATACTCATCCCCTCCTTCTCCCTCCCATCTGCTCGACACCCAATGAATGTTACTACTATATGTGCACTTAAGTACTGATCAGTTAAAACCAAGATAGTGAGTACATGTGGTGCTTGTTTTTCCATTCTTGGTTGTATTTTTTTAAAAATCAAATTTGCACTAATTCTCTAGCAATTTAGGTACTGTAGCATCTATTGTAATATTAATAGCTAACATTTACTTAGCAATTGCTATGGTCTCAATACTGAGTCAAGCACCTTACATATATTACCTTATTTAATACCCTGAAAAATAATTTGACCACTTAGCTAATACATGGCTAAGCTGAGAATAAAACCCAAGCTGACAATGGAGCCCAGGGTCCTAGCCACTGTGCAAGCCCACCATAGTCCTAGGTAATTCATAAACATTTGCTTGCTTTTTCCTAGGAAGCAAAGAAAGACATTATTTCCTACTAAACTGTAAGCTCAAAGAGACCAAAAGAGCTCAAGCCCCAAAAAACCTGAGATATTACCTGGTTTGTTTCAGCATTCTGCTGACAATACAGCAGTTTTCTAATAGTTGTGAAATGAAGGCAGGGTGAAGGAAAATTTCAGTTACTCAGCTATTAATTGGAAAAGGCAAGACTAACACTCATTCTCCTAAGTACTATAGGACAGAGTTAAAATCTATGCAGTAATAAATTTCAGATAATATATAGGTAAATTTTATAGCAACCAGTTTTTCCACAACATAAATGTAAGAATTAGGTTCTAATTATTTTAGAGCTCTGGAAAGCAGTAGAGATAACACATCAGTGAGAGATTACAAGGAACTGGCATTTGATCATAGCTAAAATATAAGATTTCATCTATTTGGTATGTAAGTGAACTCTCTGAGCTATAAGGTAAATTTTTGACAGATATTCATCTCTCTTTTTATCTTACATATTCAGCTTAATGATATGCACTGACCATATTCACTTTTTAAAGCCAAATGCTCATAAGACCCAGTGATAAGTGAGCATTTAAAATATAATCAAAATATCTCCTAAGCAAAATACATTAAGTTAACATTTAAATGATTCTTGTCACATGTATCAGTTGCTTTAATGCATATATTTCATAGTCATTAACAATGAAAAAGCAAAAAAGTAAGATTGTTGTTTAAATAAGTGTCTCATTTCAGAAAGGATGTTTGGTATTGTTTCCTTAAACTCACTTTAACTTTATGTTTGATAAGGTGAATATGGTCAGTGCATATCATTAAGCTGAATATGTAAGGTAAAAAGAGAGATGAATATCTGTCAAAAATTTACCTTATAGCTCAGAGAGTTCACTTACATACCAAATAGATGAAATGTTATATTTTAGCTATGATCAAATGCCAGTTCCTTGTAATCTCTCACTGATGTGTTATCTCTACTGCTTTCCAGAGCTCTAAAATAATTAGAGCTAACTTCTAATTTCTATTGTTTAAGCCACTCAGTTTGTGGTACTTTGTCACAGCAGCCCTAGCAAACTGATACACACACTTCTATAATGGTCTATTTCTTATACAAGTATATTTAGCAAGGCTAGGGCCCATCACCTGAATGATACTCAGAAATGCTAAGGAGATGTAGCCATGGTACCTACCTTGGTTAGGTGAATGACGCCTTTAGAAGTGACCGAACAACCCATGAAGCCAACATACTGAAGCTCAGGACAGTGCTCAGCAAATGCTTTCACCGACTGATCTGTCACCTAGGGAAAAGCCATGAAGAAAATTATTCAAGGTAATGTTCCAGTCAACTCAAGGATTTGGCTCCTGCAAATTCCCTTGGCCTCACTTTGCATCATTATTTCCCTTTCCATTAGAAATCTTGAATCAGCATAAAAACAAGCTGTAATATCTCGTGTATTTTTAAAAAAACACTTCCTTGATCCCACAGCCACATCTATCCTCACCCCATGTTTTGTACTTCTTCACAGAAAATGCCTCAAAGAGATGTTGTTACAGGCTATCTGCACTTCTTCACCTTCCCCTTTTCCCTCCCATTCTTCTTCCTCCCTCCCTCTTCCTTCTCACTCTCTCTCTCTCTATATATATGTATATATGTGTATATGTGTACATAAATATTTTATTGACAGTTAATTCACATACCATAAAATTAGCCCTTCCAAAAAGTACAGTTAAGTATATTCACAAAGTTATGCATGATTACCAACACCTAATTCCAGAACATATTCACCACCCCTAGAAAGAAACTCCATGTCCATTAGCAGTCACCTCCCTACTCCCCACTACCTCCAACCCTGGCAACTTTCTATCTCTGTCGATTTACTTATTCTGGACATTTTATATAAATGGAACCATACAATTTGTGACCTTTTTATGACTGGTGTTTTTCACTTAGCATAATGCTTTCAAGGTTCATCCATGTTGTAGCATGTATCAGCACCTTATTCCTTTTTATTGCTGAATAATATTCCATTGTATGGCTACATCACATCGTTTTGGGTTAAAATGTATCCCTCTATAATTCATATTTTGAAGTCCTAACCCCCAGTACCTCAAATTGTGACCTTATTTGGCAATGGGACAATTACAGATGTAAATAGTTAAGTTAGGATGAAATCATACTAGAGTAAGGTGGGTCTTCAATCTAATACAATTAGTATTCTTATAAAAAGGGGAAACTGGAACACAGTTGGACACACAGGCAGAATGCCATGTGAAGATTGGAGTTATGCTGCCACAAGCCAAGGAATGCCAAAGATTACCCAAAAAGTAGCAGAAGCTATGAGAAAGGCCTGAAATAGATCTTCTCTCATGCCTTCAGAAGGAACATGGCCTTGTCAATACCTTGATCCTGGATTTGTAGCCTCTACAAGTGTGACACGATAACTTCTGTTGTTTAAGCCACTCAGTTTGTGGTACTTTGTCACAGCAGCCCTAGCAAACTGATACACACATTTTCTACTCTCTTTTGATCTCATTTTAATCAGGTTTTTCTCCCTATTATTCAATTGTCACCAACCTATCAAATTAAATGATCAATTTAAATTTTCATCACAGCATTTCAGCAGCATCTGACACAGTTGATGATTCTTCTTGAAACAATTCGTTGATTTGCTTCTAGGGCACCACACTCTCCTGGATTTCCTTCTTCCCTACTATTGGCTCTTATTCACTTTGCTGAGACCAACTCAACTCAGTTCTTTGCTCATTTCTCTTTTCTGTCTTTCTTCATTCCCTACATGATCAAATCTAAAGGCTCTAAATATTAACTATATATTAATGAGTCTCATGTTGGTATCTCCAGCCCAAACCTCTGTACTCTATTTCAAACTTCCACATCCAAACTGCCTATGCATTCTCCCTGGATGCCTATGGACATCTCAAACTTAAATTGTCCAGAGGAGAAATCTTTATATTCCAAAATGAGCTTGCTTTTCCCAGAGCTCACATTTGCATGAATATCATCACTATTCAACCCAGATATTCAAGCCAAACCTTTTTCTTTCTAAATACCATCTAAAGTCCATTAGGAAACATTGTCACTTCTTCCAAATGTATCCTAAATCTAGCTACTTCTCACCTCTGCCACCACTACCACCTCCATTCATGGTCAGTACCATCTGCTACCTGAACTACGGAAAGAGCCTCCTAATTGCCACCCCTAATTCCACTCTTCTTCCTCTACTGTTTTTTCTTCATGCAGCAGCCACAAGATCTAATTAATGTCACTCTCTAGTTCAGCCAAAGTGGTCTCAAAGTCTTTCTCAAACATGCCACATCTAGCTCTTTCTCAGAGTCATTGTATTTGCTCTTCCCTCTGCCTCAAATGCATCCCCCTCAGATGGTCACATGGCTCACCCACTTCATTCTTGTCTCTGCTTCACTGTCACCTCCTGAGATTCTCAATGACCACCTTGGCTAAAAATCATACCAAATAACTTCCCTCGTCACTGCATCTCTTACCCTGCTTCAATGTTCTTCATAACATTTATCACCACCTGATTACATTACATACTTATTCACTTTAGTCTGTTGTCTGTCTTCCCCTGTTAGAATAACTCATTGTCTCCCCTTCTACTAGACTAACAAGCCAGTCTGGTTTGCCTTGCACAGTCTCATTCCTAGCACTGCAAGTCCCACAACCTGGAAAATCCCTCAGTGGAGGTAAACTGTGACAGCTGACCATCCTAACCAGGGTGATCAACTACTCAGCCCCACTCACATAGCATCAGCACCTAGAACAGTCCCTGGCACTTAGTAGGAAGAAATTGGATATTTAAATAAATAAATGAATGATTTTTCTTTCCCTCCCTCCATGCATTCCATCATACTTTTTAATTCTTCTTTTTATTAATTTTTAGATCAAGGGTATATATGTATTATTTTAACATATTGATTTTTTAAAATGGCATTATACTAGGGGCTTTATTTTCTCTGATATAGTGTTATGAATTCTTTAAAAAAAACAAGAAGGGACATTTTTACATGAATGACTCTTAACTTAGATGTGTGTCATAGTTAATCTTATGTGTCAACTTGACTACACCATGGGGTACCCAGATATTCAGTTAAACATTATTCTGAGTGCCTCTGTGAGAGTGTTTCTGGGTGAGATTAACAATTAAATCAGTAGACTGAATAAAGCAGATTGCCTTCCCCAGTGTGGATGGGCCTCATCCAATCCACTGAAGGTCTGAATAGAACAGAAAGTCTGTGTAAGAGAGAAATTTGTGTTCTCTCTGCCCAACCGTCTGCCAGCTGGGGCATGGGTCTTCTCCTGCCTTTGGACATAGACTTGGACTTGAATTTATACCACTGGCTCTCTTGGTTCTCAGGCCTTCAGACTTGGACTGGAACTATATACCATTGGCTCTCCTGGGTCTCCCGATTGCTGATTGCAGATCTTGGGACTTCTCAGTCTCCATAGTCATGTAAGCCAATTCCTTACGATAATCTCTTGATTGATAGATAGATAAAAAGACAAATAGACAGATAGACAGATGCTAAACAGATAATCTCCTAATGGTTTTGCTTCTCTGGGGAACCCTAATACAGTATCTATTATAATCCCTTGAGGAGTTTATTAAAAACTCAGAGCTAAAAAGGATGGGGCCCAAGGATCTGTATTTATTTATTATTTCAAAATATTAAGGGGGTACAAATGTTTTTGTTACATGGATACCTTTCATAATGCTTAAGTCGGTGCTTTTATTGTGGCCATCACCCAAACAGTGTTCATCGTACCCAGTAGGTAAGTTTTTACCCCTTCCCTCCTTCTCCCTCCCTTCTTGATTTCCAATGACCTTTCATATCCTTGTGCCTCTCTGTGCCATCAATTTGCTCCCAATTATTGGAGAGTACATGTGGTGTTTGTCTTTCCATTCCTGAGATACTTCATTTAGGATAAAGGTCTCTAGTTCCACCCAAGCTGCTGCAAAAGACATTATTTCATTTCTTTATATCAGTGGTCCCCAACCTTTTTGGCACCAGGGACCAGTATCATGGAAGACAATTTTTCCATGGATGGTGGGGGTGCGGGGGGTGATGGTTTCGGGATGATTCAAGCATATTACATTTATTGTGCACTTTATTTCTATTGTTATTACATTGTAATATATAATGAAATCATTATACAACTCATGATAATGCAGAATCTAATGCCACTGCTGATCTGACAGGAGGAGGAGCTCAGGCAGTGATGCGAGCAATGGGCAGCAGCTATAAATACAGATGAAGCTTCACTCACTTGCCCACCTCTCACCTCCTGCTGTGCAGCCCAGTTCCTAATAGGCGACAGCCCAGTACCTGTCCATGGCCCAGGGGTTGGGGACTGCAGCTTTATATGGCTGAGTTGTACTCCATGGTATATATATATACACATCGCATTTTCTTAATCCACTCATGAATTGATGGGCACTTAGGTTGATTCCATATCTTTGCGACTATGAATTGTGTTGCAATAAACTTTCGAGTGCGGGTGTCCTTTTGATAAAATGACTTCTTGGCCAGGTACAATGGCCCACACCTATAATCCTAGCTCTCTGAGAGGCCAAGGCTAGAGGATTGCTTGAGGCCAGGAGTTCAAGACCAGCCTGAACAAGAGAACTGGTCTCTATAAAAAATAGGAAAAATTAGCCAGGCGTGGTGGCGCACACCTGTAGACCCAGCTATTCAGGAGGCTGAGGCAGAAAAACCAATTGAGCTGAGGAATTTTAAGTTGCAGTGAGCTATGATGTCTCCACTGCACTCTAACCCAGGCAAAAAAAAAAAAAATGATTTCTTTTCCTTTGGATAGATACGCAGTAGTGGGATTGTTGGATCGAATAGTAAGTCTACATTTATTTCTTTGAAAATTCTCCACACTATTTCCATAGAGGTTGTATTAATTTGCAGTCCCAGCAACATGTATAAGTGTTCCTTTATGTCTGCATCCAAGCCAGTATCTACTGTTTTTAGACTTTTTAATAATGGCCATTCTGACAGGCGTAAGGTATTATCTCATTGTGGTTTTAACTTGCATTTCTCTGATTAGTGATGTTGAGCACTTCTTCATATGTCTATTGGACATTTGTCTATCTTTTGGAAAATTTCTATTTATATCTTTTGCCCACTTTTTAATAGGGTTGTCTGTTGTTTTCTTGCTGATTTGTTTCAGTTCTTTGTAGATTCTGGATATTAGTTCTGTATCAGATGTATAGTGTGCGAATATTTTCTCCCATTCTGTAGATCGTCAATTTACTTT